AGAAAAAAAAAAAAAAAAAAAAAGGATATGGTGTTTGTCGAAACCAAACACAATGAGACAAAATTGGACCATCTTCCCCTCGTCTCCGTGGGTAGTTAATACGCGTATGTGACAGGGCAGTCCCGGGCGCTGTCCCCAAGTTGACCTGTAACTAGGATTCCCCTTCCCACAGCCCCTGGGACTTACCCGCTATCTGCTCCACCACCGTTTTTCTTGTATGTCATCCACTCATCACAGCCCCCAAAGGTTTCCTCCCTGATGACTTCTTCTCTCTCTATTAATTAGTTGTATTTTGTCTTTTTTTAAAAGCTTCAAATGGCCAGATGTGTCACTCCTGTCTCTTCCCAGCAGACATACAACAAAACTAATTTTCCTCAGAGAGTGAGGAGTTGGGGTCTAGGCTGGTGAGGGAATCTAAAGGCTCTGACTTCTCAAACATGCAATAAGTTCACTTTTTTCTGTGACCAGATCATTGTTAGTTTTGCTGCCAACTTTCTCCACGTGAACACGACACTATGGATTGGGTCCGGTAGTCATTTCACATGCATCTATTCCACCGGCTGTGGATTGGATATTTCTCTGAGAACCAGACCAGTGACTTCCCGTGGGTGGAAGCAGATCATTTTCATGTCCACGTATTTCCTTCCATGGTGTGGTCCAGGGATCATTGGGGGTGGGGGGTCTCTCACAGATTCATGCCCCCCAATGACTCTTGGACAGTGTCCTATGATGTGGGTGATGGGGTAAATGGGCCCACATGTGAGCAAGCCCCAGCTGGTGGTGGCAGCATCCCCACAAAGACAGCAGAAACGTGCAAGGACACGTGAGGCCTCTGCCTGGAGCTGCCACGGTTCCTCCTTGCTCTTTTTGCTTCATGCTCTTGGCCAAAGCAAGTCCCAGGCCATGTGAGTATGGCTTTCAGCTCACACAAAGAGGGTCTCTAAGCCTCAAATTCCTCATTCCAGTGCCAAGAGAATCCGGGTGCTGATAGGCTGTGAAGAAGGAATACTAAGCACCTCCCTTGCAGAAATGGAATAGAATCTTACCCCGGGGAAACCAGGTCCTCTAGGGGGCGCTCTAGCTCTCCCGGGACCTGTGCCAGAGGACTCAACTGAGAACTTCCTGGCCTGCGGGAGTCCAGGAAAGCCAGCCTTGGAGGAGAGGTTAGCCAGGGGGACAGCTCTGCCTGTCAAAAAGGGCTCAAAACAGCTACATTGTCATTTATTCAACAAAATGCAATGAGCCCCATTGAGTGCTAGTTTGTGGACTAGGGATGGAAGAAAAGCCTTTGTCCGATTTCTCCAATTTGCCTTAATGCCGCTCTCTGTTCTATTCATTAATGATCATTAGTAATTCTTGTCTAGAATTTTTCAGTCATTTGAAGTCTCCTCGCCCTTTGTTCTTGGTGCTGAATGGTGTCCCTTTCATCCGACCGTCAGCAAATGAGAAAACTGGGAACAACTCCAGGCCCTTCTCTGCTTCTCATGTTAGGTTTTCCACCTCATCCCACTGATTTTACTTACTAAGTGCTTCTCAGGTCTAACCCCTTCCTTTCCATCGCTCCCCGCCGCTCTCACAATTGTACTAATTTAGCAGTATCTTCTTTCTCCTTACCTTCCCCTCTCTATCTGTCCCCACTTGCTCCCTATTCCGAATTGGTCTCCAAAAATCTTGAATTGCTTACAATTTGACACCCTCCCCTGCTGTCCTTTTCTGTTTTCTCCCTCCTTGATTTGCCTGTTTCATTCCGATTTAATTATTAAGCATAAGCATTTCCAAGATTTCTTCTTAATACTCCTCTCTCTGTCACCTCCCCTACCTCCAGGCTAGAGAGTTGCCCATTTCCTATGCCCTTAAAGAATTGCCTGGCTGGCGTGGCTCCATGGTTGAGCATCAACCTATGAACCAGGAGGTCACGGTTCGATTCCTGGTCAGGGGACATGCCCGCTTTGTGAGCTCAATCCCTAGTCTGTGCAGGAGGCAGCTGATCAATGACTCTCTCTCTTCATTGCTGTCTCTCTTTCTCTCTCTCTCTCTCTCCCTCCCTCCCTCCCTCTCCTTTCCTTTCCTCTCTGAAATCAATAAAGAACATTACAAAAAGGATCTACACACATCTTTATTCATACCCTTTCTATTTTTTCAGTGTCTCACTAGACCATGAGCTGCTTGAGGTCAGGGCCAACTCTGTCTTTTCATATTTACGCCTCCAGTGTTCTTCCAGCCCTAGCCTATAATTGTCCCTCAATGAAGGTTTTTATGCCACTCAATACATTGAACCAATTCGATGGTACCCCTGCATTGAGGCCCCAGACAGAAGGGAGGCATCCGGAGAGCAGTGCCAGTAAAGCGATCTTTTCCTGGCACCTGTCCCCTGATCTCCTAGCGGAGCTCTTCGCCCGATGACGAAGTTCCTGGCAATTCCCCTCATTAATTGTGATGCCCCTGCAACAGTCCGGAGCAGGGTAACTCTTTCTCTCATCGTTTGTTCCGCGGGAAAGTGAAATAGATGAGATTTGTGATTTAAGAGACAGAGGCCAAGTAACTTCTTCCCTGTTGTGCCCAGCGGACAGCCAGTCCCAGACAGCACTCCCTGGGCAGAGCGGGCGCGGAGCTTAGCGAAGCCTTCCACCTGCTTTGTTTACCATAATGAACTGGTCAATAAACATCACAAATTGTTTATCCATATACATCCTGACAGATGACTCTTTATGAAATCCATTTAGCAAGTGAGGGTCTCCCATAAGGATGAAAAATGAAGATTTTAAACAGATTGTGGGAGAGCCCTGGCTACACCAGGAGAGTCAGTGTAATAAAGGTTTCTTTATATTAATATTACAGAAACCATTTATCCTGACAAAATCAATATCACAAGTCATCCGAGTTTGCCGTTCCTCGTTCAGAGCTTAAAACGTCTTTTCCTTTATTACGTTTAATTCTGTTTTAATAAACGTGAACTATATTTCATTTAGGAGGCGCTCTGGAGGGGAGTGGTAACTTCTAAAATGACATCAGACTTGTAGCTTATTTGCTAAAGAGTCTTGGAAATGTTTAAAATCATATTTGAGCGGCTGAGAAATTCTCAGGAATCGTTTTACTTAAGCCTTAATTACCAAATGATCCCCAGTGTCCTCTGGGCTGGAAACAAACGATCATATCCAGAAAGTCTCCTGTGAACTCCATTCACATAAAACTCCCTCCGACTGAAGTCGAGCAATTATAACCGGGCAGATAAGTGAGATACAACAAGGGCTGGGATAAGAGACTATAAAATCAGGAATAGTCACATTTAATTACTCACAACCCTGCGTGCTTTCTGAAGACGGGATTTATTTATTCCGTTGAGATTCCAGACGCAATACCCCATGGATAGTGACAGAGCTGCCTTAAGAGTTAAGCGTGTCGCCGGCAGAAAATAGAACCACATCAAGGAAAGGAATTATGTGATACACTGGAAACGGTTCCTCTAAATGTACTGTATATAAAATGAGCGTGATTGTCTCATGAGTGAATGGTAATAAAAACAGAAATACTCAAGAGATACTTACTCAGGAGTGGAGTGGTGATAAATACATGCGCTGGGGAAGGCATAGCACTCATTGCTGCGTCTCACCAATGTGACATAAAACGCCGACAAACAATTTACTCTAAGTAATAGCATATAATGAAATGAAGAGCAAATTAAAGATTTTTTTTTTTTTGCTTCTAGAATCCCATTTTAATTTCAGTGCATAATTTTCTAATACGTAAGTAGCCCAAACAAAACGTCGGTTTGAAATGGAGTTCTGATGCAATGTCTGTACATAAAGGACTTCATGTAGTTGCTTGTAGGAGGGGGAAAATGTCCTTTTACCATGACATAAGAAGGGCAAACTGCAGGACAGCGGTTTTTCAAGAGAAACTGTGCCTTATTTATTCCCCAGGTGACTTAGTCCATAAAACAAATTTGCAGCTTCCTTAGCAGCCTCGGCTTTTATCAGCCTATTTGAGGGTGTTGAAGGATTACCCAAGAGATCACACCCTAAAGTTGCAGTGAGTACAGGAACCGTCCACCCAGCATCTTCAGGAGAAAGTGGAGTGGATCCATAATGTTTTCATTAAGAGTGTCCTATGCAAGGACCCTGGTAAACGCGGGTGGTCTTCCCTCAGGTACCGTTTCTGCCTCTCTAATACTTCCTGGCATCCAAATTGTTCATCCTCACCAATGACATTGTCACAGGTTAAGAGTTTGAAGAAACAGGTTTTCATTTCTGTCGTAGCAAAAATGTGACAACTGTGATTTCTTTTTTACAAGCAACTTTAGGAGCAAGAAATTGGAGTTGAAGTGAAATTCTCTCATATTTATTTAATTAGCGTCTTTTCAAAGATCAGAATAATGCTCTGTTTTCCAACCAATCTGGATAAGTGAGTTCAGTGCATACAATCGAAAAGGAAATACAACTTTTATTCACACATCCTCAGTATTGGAATGTGTCTTCCTCCACCTGTTTTCTTAGTGAAATGTAGTCTTTATAAAACCGAATACGGAATTTCACGATGTTTAGGGAAGACAGTGATTATCATAACCAGTTTTCTGTTTCACAATTTGATAGATACTTGAAAAGATCATTTGGAGGGGACCTAATAATCTTAACTTTTAGCTGTCAGGAGAACTGCTTTTTTGTGAAAAGAAAATTTACAGTATTCTCAGTTGAGCAACTGGATTCAAAATAATCCATAAGATGTACTGTGGCATGAAAGAAAGCCAAGTAACGCTTCTTTATTGCCATTAGTTAGCTTCCAAGGAGAAGGCTTCGTAGAGGTTTACCATAAACAGCATTTTGATAAAAAGATTTTTTTTCTGTTTCATTTTATTTCATGGTGGTTTGTTTAACTCAAGAATCCTTTTCCGCCTGTTGGCTAAACCAGACCATATTAGTCCACAGTGTGATCCGTAGACATATGTGCCTTCTACCATGAATTATTAATCAGAACGCTTGACGGTTTCCTTCTCTTGTTTTCAGATGTCAGCCTTGCAATTGTCATCTCTCCGGAGCCTTGAATGAAACCTGCCACTTGGTCACGGGCCACTGTTTCTGTAAACGATTTGTCACCGGCTCAACGTGTGACACTTGTGTTCCCGGAGCAAGCCACTTGGATGCCAGCAACCCGTGGGGTTGCAGCAAAAGTGAGTGAGCTCCGTCCGGCCCAGCGCTGGGGTGTGAGGACCCAGCACCTGGGGAAGAGGGTCCGTGTTCTCTCTCCGCACTGAAGAGAGAGGCGGAAAGTTTAGGTCAGAAACAAAAAAAACAAATTACATGAAATGAAACGTGTGTTCTTTTTCCTTGATTCGGTCATGGACTATGATGATCCTATATAATAAAAGGCTAATATGCAAATCAACCAAATGGTGGAACGACCGGTCACTATGCCTCGCACTGACCACCAGGGGGCAGATGCTCAATGCAGGAGCTGTCCCCTGGTGGTCAGTGCGTTCCCACAGGGGGAGCACCGCTCAGCCAGAAGCCGGGCTCACGGCTGGCAAGCTCAGTGGTGGTGGCAGGAGTCTCTCCCACCTCCGAGGCAGTGCTAAGGAGTAGCGAGCCAAGTGGTAAGGAGTAGCGAGCAGGCGGGTAGTAAGGAGCGAGGGGTCCTGGACTGCAAGAGACATGTCAGACTGCCGGCTTAGGTCCACTCCCCGCTGTCAGTTGGACATCCCCCAAGGGCACCTGGACTGCGAGAGGGCACAGCTGGGCTGAGGGACCCCTCCCCCCACCCCTGAGTGCACAAACTTGGTGCACCGGGCCTCTAGTATGATTATATTACTCATAGGAAATGGACACTGATGTGTTGAAATAGTATCGCTAAGAAGCCGACCAAAGTCCTGATGTTCCCAAAACCTGAAGGACATCCCTGCTTAAGCCAAATGATCAGTCGCCCATCCACCCAACAGCATCTCCAGGCAATTGCCTATAGCAAATGGAGGATTTATATTTTACTCTGAGTTTTACGTTCTTTCATCCCACAAGGTCTTATGGGCACTGTGCTACTAGTAGTTGCTTATTGATATTTATCAAAGCTTATTCCTAACCCCTGCATTTAATATTCTTCTCTTTCTGTTTTCACTGGCACTCACTGTTTAGACGTCTCTCATGCTTCTAGTTCTAACTCTTGGGAGGCAGAGCTTATCTCTTAGCGTCTTGTGACTTCTCAACACCATTTTCCAGTTCCTTGAATTGGCTCCATTCGGTCACCTGCTGTCCTACTATCTCATAACATACTGACGAATTCTTTGCATTTCCTTCAAGATCATACATCTCTCCTTTTTCAAAATTCCTAAGAAGTACCTGCTGTAAGCACATGGTGAGGAGCTCTCTGCCACACAGTGTTCTGTGCATGTCCTCCTCGGGGTTTCCTGAGACGGTCGTGAGTCACAGTACGAGGAAATGCCACCATTTGGACATGTCACCACAGGCCTGGGCCCGTGCTGTCTATTTAAGGAAGGGAGAGAGAACTAATGGGATATCAGCAACTGTACCAGATTTTTGTTGTTGTTGTTGTTAATCCTCACCTGAGGATATATTTTCCATTGCTTTTTAGAGTGGAAGGGAGGCTCAGGGGATAGGGGAGAGAGAGAGAGAGAAACACTAAGGTGAAAGAGACACATCCATTGGTTGCCTCCCGCATGCACCCTGATTTGGGCCAGTGAACAAACCTGCAACCCAGCTACATGCCCTTGACCGGGAATCAGACCCAAGACCCTTCCATGCACAGGCCAGCGCTTTAAACACGGAGCAACACCAGCCAGGCTGTACTGGGTTTTGAGACGGTGAAAGGCAGGTATAGCTAATGACCTAGACATGTTTAGATTTTGTGCCTGTGTGGTTCACCTACAGTATCCTGTGTTCGTTGGTACCTTAACATAGCTCTAGGTGTTTATGCTACTCTTGAGAAAACAACGTCATAATTGCCTGTGTCGACACACAAATCTGGCTTTTACTGACCACTTAGTTAATATTTGTTATTCATTGATTAGCTATAGAATTGATTGATTTGTGTGCAACATTAATTCCAGCGTATTGCTCTGGGTGTCAGCTGCTGATCACCATTTACTAAAACAAACCAAATCTTAGTGATCTTTTGATCGGTTCTGCCAGGAACTTTGTGTGAGAATATTTGCACCGGCTGCACTTTTTGCTACCTGTTCTTGATTCTGAGATACGGTCTAGGAATTCTACCTCAGGCAAAACTGGGTAGTCTGGTCACTGGGAATTGGCCTACTTTTCTTAGTATTGCCAGAGACTTTATGTTATGTCTTTTTTTCTCTGGGCTAAATATTCTTGATCTTTTCAAATGCTTCCAATTTTGAATAATTAAAAAAAAACTTGCATATTCCTAAGTATTCTTCCCTGGACATAGGCATTTTGATTTCTCTGTTTAAAATTGTGATCTTTAGGATTGGACATCTTCCTTCAACTCTCCCTGTGGTTGTTGTAACTGCCCTTTTAGGTTTGTGTTTAGAGAAGCCCACCGAACACTGTGCGGAGTTGGGAGCGCAGAATCAGCAGAGGAAGTTGGTTAAAAAAAGAAATCAGACAGGAGTCCTGCCTTCAGAGGAGCTTAGCACAGTGAACGTGGGGCTCGGGGAAGTGCTAACTGTGGGGCACACATGAAGGGTGCTGCTTTCTTTACTGCCCCCCTGCCTTTCGCATGGTCCTTGCTTTCTATGCTACCAGCGGCCGGAACCTGCTTCTCAAGGATGCGATTGAAAGGAACGTGGTGCTATCTGTTGTTGAAACTGTGAACTACCGCGGGCTCCGGCCTCCTCTCTGTCCACGTCAGGGATGTGTTTGCCGTGAGAATCCAAGTGTCTCAGGTGTTTTCCTGCGCAGTTCGGGAACCCTGGGGTTATAATAGTTACCTTCTCCTTGTCCTTAGAGACCACTGACAAGAGTTTAGGAGTGGCGTCTGTGATTTTTATGATGAGGATTTGGGTAGGCATCCTAAGATCTAATTTTCAGAGTGGGGGAGAATTGATTTGGTTTCGGATAAAGCAGTTAGGCCCTCTCCGATGGCATGCTTTCTGGTTGTGTGATGTGCTTTTTGCCCATCCATATTCGTTTCATGCTTTTCAAATGAGAGTCATTTTCCTTGTTAAGAGAGATGGAAGGAAACAGGTATTTAATAGTTCTGCCTTCTGTATTCTTTCCTAACGAATGATATTTCAGTTTGCCTTAAACTTCTGGCTGTAAAATTAACTAATATACACATACACTTATATACACATACATGTGTACTTATTATTTAATTATAAATATTACATTTATGTTTTAACTATTTATAGATCCTTTGTGTTTCTCTTCTTGATATGACTCTACTCTCAGCTAACTCTTATGCTTACCCTTGCTTATCTATCCATCTTTTTATCATTCACATTTTTTCTTTATCCCTGCTTATCAAAGAGGCTGTTTTAATTCTCCTTTTCTTAAAAGAAATATTTTTATTATGGTAAAATATGCAGAACAAATTTACCATATTAATAATTTTTAAACCTTTTTATTGATGCATTGGGGTGACATTGGTTAATACAATCATATAAGTTTCAGGTGTACATATCTATAATACATCATCTGTACATTGTATTGTGTGTTCAGCACCCCAAGTCAGGTCTCCTTCCATCACCATGTATCCCACTTTTTCCACCTTCTACCTGCCCAACCCCCCTTTCCCTCAGACATACTGTTGTCTGTGTCTATGAGTTTTGTTGTTATTGCTGAATCCCTTCATGTTTTTAATCCAGCCCCACAACCCTCCTCCCTCTGACAGTTCATTCATAATGTTGTACAACCATCCCTATTACCCATCTCCATAACTCTTTTCTTCTTTTGAAATGGGGACTCTATACTCTTTAAAAGTGAATACCCCCCATCTCTCCCAGCCCCTGGCAACCACAGTTTCACTTTCTGCCCCTCCCTTTCTCGGTCTCTCCTCTACTTTGGGGTCCATTACACCAATGTTGGCGCACGCACACCTGACATTGTCTCCCAGGTCCCTGCGGCTCTGTTCCCTTTTGTTCCGTCTTTTTCTTTCCCTCTTTCCCGTGGATGGGATAAAGCAGATTGCTGTATCTTTAAGATCCATCTCTCCTTTATCTTCCAGTTTACTGTTTGTTTGCTACACTCAGGAGTCTGTCTATTGATTGCCTCTTTTATGAGTCTGGTTCACAGTTTCTTTGAGTATGTTGTAATTTTACTCTGAAAACACTTAAGCTATTAGTGTGGGTTGTTGGTTTTTTTTATAAATTTGCATAGGCTTAAAAGTGGAAAACTTTCTCCACTATAGCATACTGATGTCTCTAATCAGTTTTTGTTGTTTTTTTTTTTAATTTTTACATATAGCCTGGCTTCCTAGGGGATTGCTCCTATGTCTGAATAAGCCAATGATATGGGCAGTGTTTATGCTCAGATGCTTTCAGACCACACAGCTCCTGCCAATCACTGTGAGTTAGAGTGCCCAGAAATAGTTCTTTGGATGATTTGCCCAGTTTCATATCACTGATCTATTCATGTTGGTTTAACCAGAAGCACCCTATTCTCTTCTTTCCTTTTGAAACATCTCTTAATTCTCCAGCTCTTCTTTTATTTTGCCATCTCATCTATGGAAGACACTTCGACATTGTTCCCAGTACCCATCATTCACTTGTTTTAAGTTAACAGAACGTAGAGCTGGTCCCATGGCCTTATCCTCTCCTGTAGTTAATGATCACCATGCCGCTAATCTTCCGACTGACACGTGTGGGCACCAGTGACGTGTGGGTTCCTGGGTTGTGCCCGCCCTGACACAGGGCGTGCCCTCCGCCTCTCCTCTTCTCCTTCCTGCT